TTTGCACTAGACAGCAAAGATTGAAATATAAGTAACTTCTGTTCCCTGCCTCTGAGCACTTTATCATCTAATGTGGTACATCTGTAAGCTGATGATTGATCAGTTGATTGATAGAGTCAGTCATTAATTCAGGCGACATTTACTGCATGCCTTCGCATCTTCAGGCATTGCTCTTCCAGAGCATACAGGACTCCTTTCTAGTGGGATTAGATGATCATTAAGGAGAGTTGGTTGAAGAACAACCCTTTATTTACTGAGTGTTTACCAGATCTAGGTTCTGTGATGACCAGATCACATGTGATTTTAACTAATTGTTAGGACAAGCCCATATTATTATTTTCGTTTAAAGGCGAGGCAGTGGAAGATTAGAGAATTTAAGCCAAATGCCCAGGGTTGCCCAACCTTGGACTCAACCCTAAATCTCTGTTAGGGTCATTGCATAATCACAGTGCCGTTTGTGGCAATACTGGGATGTTTGCTGTGCTGCTGTCTCTTCCAGGAAAGAGCAGAGCTGAGGTGGGAGGACAGGGTGTGTGTAGCGTGGAGACAGGGGAGGGTGGAGAGGTTGGAAATGCCTCATCTCCAGTCCACTCTCTCATCCTTCGGGTAGGCAATTGCTTAACCACACAGACACTGTTTTTCCCACCCCCGTGCCTTTTCTTAAGCCTCCCTCTGCTCCATCTTTCTCTTCATCTCTGTATCTCACACCCATAACCAGACTTTGGGTCTGACTCAAATCCCTCCTCCTCCAGTGGCTTCTGCAATTCCTCCCTTCCCACAAGACTAGTCTTTACTTTCCTTCTCCCACTGAAGTTTTTTCTTTGAAACATGGCAGCCCTGCTCAGGGCTGTCTTGCGTGTCAGTTCTTTTGCATTCCTCTGTTTTCTCCCAAGAGACTAATGACTCCTTGAGCACAGGTATCTCTGCTGCTCACGGCATAGGTGCAGTCACTCACACACAAGGACTTTGGCCCTTTGCATGGTACTTCCTCCAAAGCCATGGCCCACAAGACAGCATTATTCTCCCTGCGCATCTTTAACACCCATCATTTACCATTGTGATAGTCAAGTGAGGAATTCTCTTTTGTTAAGAGAAGCTCCATAGGTAATGTCTTTTGAGAACTGCTTTAGAACTTGGTAATTTTTGTAAGCTCCAATATTACTCTCTTCAAGGCCTCTTAGGTAAGTTAGAGCTTCTTAAGAAAGCACCGAGTTGATAACATAAATAGACTCTCTGGATCTGTCCACCATTAGTTCTAACTTATTCCTCCTCCTCTTGGGACAAGCTTTTCATTTTCCATAATACTCAACTGTCAGAGACTCCCAGTGGGGGGGGGGGGGAATCTGGGAGGCATTTGGAATCTGGAAGGCACTGGATCTCCTCTGTGGGGATGCATTCGGCCTGTACCACTCTGGTATTAGGAAAATGAGACTGACGGAGTCTACTTACGTGTCTGCCGGCAAGTGCAGAGCAGAAAGATAGCCTTGTAATAGAGAAGAAAAGTCTCAGAGGGGAAAGAAATAATAAAATCAAGCTGGTTTATGGTTTGTCAGTCCAAAAAGCTTTTAAGCCGAATCTATAAAAGTGTATCCACCTAATGTTTGTTCTGCATTTCAGGCCTCATCGTGTGGTAAGTGTTGTCAATTTTGTCCCTTTAAGCCTGATCTCCTGAGGGCTGAGTTGTAAGCAGTTAAACTTAATTTGAAAGGACTTTATCAATTGGGGTTTGATTTGGTCTTTACCAAACAGAGGCACTAAATAATGGTTGGCCTCCCTGGTAGAGCTTTTTTTCTTTATTTTTAAATTTCACTTTATAGGTCTCTCTCTCTGTCCCCATTTTCCACTTTCTATTTCCAACTGTTCTGCTTAAAAAGACTAAAGTGGTATGAGAGGGAAAAAAGGAAGGAAAAATTCTGTGTCACATTGAGAGCATAACTGATTTAATAAGTAATGTCTTTCAGTCCCTCAACATCTTCCAAACCCTAGGCAAACCTCAACATCTTTGCATGCATCAATTAGTGTTCAGCTCAATAAGTGGAGGGTTCTCAGGTAGATGGATGGGGAAAGTTCACAGAGCTTTCCTAAGGAAAGGGTGTGCTTCTCTGGCTTTAAAGACATACCAGCTTGATTTAGGTTCCCACTCTGCAAAAAGAAGCATGAAGTAGAATAACATGGCAGCTTCCAGTCTTCCTGAAAATCAAAGGAAGACATTTAATTATTGTCCAGGGGTTTGTTGAAATAACAACAACAAAAAATTGGAACTGAGGAAGGAAATCCACTAGACTGTAAGCTAGATGAGGGCAGGAACTTTGTGTTTTTCACCATTTATTTCCAGTGCGCATAGTAGGTGCACCATAAGTATTTGTTAGCTGGATCTATTGAATGAATGAGAGAAGATGTGAGAACAATTTTGGTCTTAGGTTAAATTTCATTCCACTAGATGTTTCACCTCTTTCTTCTCTTTTTCCCCCCTAATTCTTTAAGAGGAAAGTAGCTCTGATGTACAAGATTGCAGTAGATACTCTGTCTTCAGATATGTTTCAGGAGAACTGTTTCATTAGCTCCCAGACTGGCAGAGTTAGAAGGGATCTTGGAAGTGCTGTCAGGCTGCCATTGACACATTCTAGTAAATGGACTCATTGTGCTTCAGAACCACGTGAGATGTGTTATCAGTCTATAGATTCCAGGCCCCACCAGTGGAAGTTGTGAATGAGTCAGTCTGCATAGGGTTTGGGAGTCGTTATTTGCTTTTGTGGATTCCTAGGAATTTCCATGAGCAGCTGGGTGTGGAAAGTGCTGCCCAATGAGCCTCACAATCCCCTGCACTCTCTGGTCTACGTTATTTCCTGAGAAAAGTGACTAGTGCACGGTACCCAGGAGAATAATTGCTGGAGCTGTGGAGCCGTGGCCCAGTGCCACTGACAGTACATGTGGTCCCACAGTTTGGCCATTTGGTTCACCCAGCACTCCATGTTCCCTGGCCTTCTGTCAACATCTCTTTGTTTTTTAAATTTTTTAAAATCATAATCTGAGGATATGTTTATTGATTTTTTTCAGAGAGGGAGGAAGGGTGGGGAGAGAGAAAGAGACAGAGACATTGATGTGAGAGAGAAACATCAATCAGTTGCCTTCCATAAGTGCCCCAGCTAGGTATTGAACTTGAAACCTGGGTGTGTGTCCTGACTGGTGATTGAACCTGTAGCCTTTTGATGTACAGGATGATGCTCCAACCAACTGAGCCACCCAGCAAGGATCTGCCAAGGTCTTTTAATTAATACTTCTTCCTTCTGAAACAGTGGCAATATTTGTGGTAATGGCCAGCCAGAATCTGAAGGACCTTCTGAAACCTGTAAAGAAACATTACCTTTTGTTGAGTATACCTTGGTACTAATTACAGGGGTGGGCAAAAGTAGGTTTACAGTTGTAATACAAATAAATAATACAATAATAAGTAAATAGTAATAGAAGAATAAACTCTGTTTCTCATACTCCTAACTGTAAACCTACTCTTGCCTATCCCTGTATATTTAATGGTCTTCCCCCTCTTGCATATTTATATGTATCCCCCTCTTGTGGCTCAGAGTAAACCTCAAAGAGAAAGTCCCTTCTTTGTACTTATAGGCCCCCTCAGCCCTACTTGAGCATAAAAAGCATCTGGGTGCTTGTTACTTGAGCCCCATGAAATCAAAGTCTTCCTGAGGGAGTCCTGGGAACCTGCATGGTGAGTTAGCCTTGATCATTAGAGCACTTTAGAGACAACTGCTCTCTCCCAGTCCCTGAGAACTATGTCCCATGCCCCCAGATCCAGCCTTCATTTCCTAAGTCCCTTGTTCATAATTATATGGCATCCCTGCTTTTCATCTGAGTTTATCCTCCGGTCTTCAGAACTCATCCTCGGAGGAAGGCAGAGGGAATATCGGCTCTCCTGTTTCCTCCAGGGTAGAATTGACTGGCCAAGGTGGGTGGGTGGGTGATTGGAAAGATACAGCAGTGGAGTGAGCATTGTGAGAAGGTTGAGAGGTGGCCCCTGAAACAGAATAGAATGTTTGTGTTCTTTCTCTGCTTCGTTACTTAGTATCTGTATAACTTGGGGCACATTATTTAAGCCTGTTTGAGTTTCTGTTGCCTCATCAGTAAGATGAGGGGTCAGAATAGTACTTGTTTAAGGTTTTCTGCATATTAAAAAGGTGTCTTTGGTTAGCCGTCAGGACACACTGAGAGATGGAGGTCTGGGTGCAGAGGGTTACCAAAGAGGATGCTCAGGGACAGCCCTTGTGAGGGAGTAGGGATAGCAGATTAGGCTGCTGGTGATGTTCTGTGATGCAGTTGTGATGAAGGTCTCAGCTGATCCCTTGGGCAGCTGGAGATGGGATGCCCTCAGAGTTGTTCCAAATTGAGGGAAGGGGGCCAGGCCTTTAGACCCCTGTATGCACCAGTCACTGGATGTGGGCTGCCCCTGGAGAGGTGCCATGATCTCAGGTACGGCAGCTGCCTTTGGCTGAGAGGGTGGCTGTGTGCTATCAGCTGCTGACAGGGCTGGCAGGTGCCAGAAGGGGTGCCCGAGTCCCAGAGCAGATCTCATCAGTATACCCAGCACCCACTACCCAGGCTAATGTATATAAAACCTTACCAGTGAACATAGCACGCTCATAAATGTTCAATTAATATTAACTGTTACCATTATTATTCTAGCTCTGGTGGTGCCACTTAGTGGCTGGGCCACTTTCACAAAGTTACCTAACTTCTCTTGGACTGTCTTCTTCTGGTTAAAATGGAGAGCCTAAACTCCCTGCTTCCCTTAGTAATTCCAAGCATACATGGAGATAATGTGAAATTGATGGGCAGAAGATTAGAAAAATGTACGGTGTGATGACGAGCCTACTTTTCTGAAGTGAATGTATGGCCATGACTTGGATTCCTTGAAGGAGAAGGGTTATGATAAATGTAAAAGCACTTGTCAGTGAATATGGCATTTTGATTTTCCTTTCTTCTCTCCATAGGGAATTAGAATAATGGAGATGCTGCTGAAGGAGCAGTGCGGTGCCCCCTCAGCTGAGTAAAGAGCCATCAGTGAGTACCAAAAGCCAAACCCAGCTGTTCTCCCAGGCCATGTGTTCACGCTCCCACACCTAGTGCTGTGCCCTCCCTGGGCCATCCATGCTGCACATTTCCCCAGGATATGCATAGGTGTTTCATTATCTGTTCTGTACCTTTATTTACTTGGTTCTTTGGTTTTCAGAACAGTTTTGTACTACGTGCTGCGTTACAACTGCATTTAAATTGTTTGAACCACTCAGCATAATCCAACATGATTACAACCCTCAAGGTAGCACAGATTTGTAGAAACTGCAGCTCAGGATAAATGGAAGCTTTAATTTTATCATTCTGAGAACAATGAAAGGAGGGGTTTAGAACTGTAGAAAGGGGCATATTGACTGGCCAGGGCAATAAATGTATTTTATCAGTTATATATACTCCCATCAATTGGGGATGGCTGCCTGAAATGCTATGGAGAAGGGCCTTGAAAATAATTCCTAAGCTCTAGGTAGAGGGCCTTGATTGATTAGCAATGTCTGCCTTGGGCACAGGATGGAGGAAGGAGCACTTTTGCAGAAGCACATGCCACTTTTAGTTTAGGATAAATAATGTAGGCTTGACAGATTGCAGGGGCATTCCAGAGTTACTTAAATTCTTTTCCTTGAGTTTTTATTGTCCACATCAAGGGGAATCACCTTCATAGTGGAAAGGGTGGAACAAAGTTATTTAAGAGAGAATCAAAGCCTAAAATAAATAGGGGATTTGCCTCTTATGAAATTTACTGGAGTTCGATTTTTAACTTCTGAGAGAAGGTAAGACATTTAAGTAGAGCAAACATTGTCTTCAATAATTCAGAATTACCTCAAGTTTCCTACGTCAGCTTAAAATTATAGTACATATGATTTTTGTATAAACAACATGGTACTTTAATTGTAATATATGATAAAATTTGAGGAGAATTAACCAAAGAAGCAAAAGGAGCAATTATGTGCAAAAGCATGCTGGTCATGCCTATGAATGAGAATTTGAGAATTATAAAGTGTTTCTGCTTGTTTGCAGGCTTGACTCCATTCTCACTAATGCTAAGCCTCTGTGTACCTAACGCATGCTAATAGATTTATTTACTACTGGAAAGGGGAGACCAGATAGTTTCATCTAGTACAGGCATGGTGTGCGGCAGGTGCTCAGCAAATGTTGGAATGGAGTCTAATGTCGTGTGCTCCTGCATCCGCTCTGCAGAGCAGATCTCAGCCCCACGACCCTGTTTCTCCAGGCTGGCATTTGGGGGAGGCTCACTAAGCACCGGCAGGGTGCAGTGTTCGTGTCCTTGGGCACAGATTCCATCTCACCCTGGAGCGTGGGAACTGAATTCAGCGCCATGTTAAATAAGAAAATGAGGGTGCCACTTGCATGGGAAGAGTATATCTTGGTTTTTAAACTTTAAATTGGTGATTGTGAAACTCTAGTGAGCATCAGAATCAGTGGAAGGATCTGTTAAACGTGGACTGATTATCCCTCTCCCCAGGCTCCTGACCAGAGTTTCTGATTCAGTGGGTCTGGGTGGAGTGAGAGAATTTGTTTCTAACAATGTCCTGGGCAGTGCTGCCGTGGCTGCTGGTCCAGGGACTGCAGTTGGAGAACCGTTGCTTTGCACGAGTTTTCATCTCTGAATGGAGATGGATTGAAAGCTATTAGCTGTAGTTTGAAACTGTTATGTATTCCATCACTGGTTTCAGATTAATCAAATGATTTTGTGTGACTTTCCCCTGATATTAATATCTCAGCCTTTTCTTGCCCACTGCCCCCGCTCCCAACCCTGCACTGCACTTGAATGTTGATAGGCTCCATACTGAAATGTAGACAACATAAAAGAAAGGAGGCAAGGCACACACTAACTTGTGTTTTAAATCACCAACTTATGGTTTCGATTTCAAGTGTTGCTTATAAGAATGAGGAAATTAAGCAAGCATTACCCACTGTCTTAAATTGTCCCTGTTCTTGCTTTTTTTTTTTTTTCGGGTCCTTTGTTTTGAGAACTGAGCCAAGAATTCAGGGCTTTATATATATTTAAAATATATTTTATTGATTATGCTATTACAGTGGTCCCCTTTCCCCCCTTCACTCCCTTCCACCCTGTACACTCTTTCCCACCCACATTCCCCCCTTAGTTCATGTTCATGTGTCATACTCATAAAAGTTCTTTAGCTTCTACATTTCCCATACTATTCTTATGCTCCCCCTGTCTATTTTCTACCTACCATTTATGCTACTTATTCTCTGTACCTTTTCCCCCTCTCTCCTCCCCCCACTCCCCCCACTCCCCTGTTGATTACCTCCATGTGATCTCCATTTCTGTGGTTCTGTTCCTATTCTAGTTGTTTGCTTAGTTTGCTTTTGTTTTTGTTTTAGGTGTGGTTGTTAATGATTGTGAGTTTGCTGTCATTGTACTGTTAATATTTTTATCTTCCTTTTCTTAGATAAGTCCCTTTAAAGTTTCATATAATAAGGGCTTAGTGATGATGAACTTCTTTAACTTGACCTTATCTGAGAAGCACTTTATCTGCCCTTCCATTCTGAATGAAAGCTTTGCTGGATAGAGCAATCTTGGATGTAGGTCCTTGCCTTTCCTGACTTGGAATACTTTCTAGCCCCTTCTTGCCTGTAAGAGCTCTTTTGAGAAATCAGCTGACAATCTTTTGGGTACTCCTTTGTAGGTAACTCTCTAATTTTGTCTGGCTGCTTTTAAGATTCTCTCCTTCATTTTAATCTTGGCTAATGTAATTATAATGTGCCTTGGTACGTTCTTCCTTAGGTCCAACTTCTTTGGGACTCTCTGAGCTTCCCGGACTTCCTGGAAGTCTATTTCCTTTGCCAGAATGGAGATGTTCTCCTTTATTATTTGTTCAAATAACTTTCCCACTTGTTGTTCTTCCTCTTCCTCTTCTGGTCCCCCTATAATTTGATTGTTGGAATGTTTCAAGATGTGGAGGTTCCTAAGCCTCTCCTCATTTTTTTGAATTCTTGTTTCTTCATTCTTTTCTAATTGGATGTTTTTTTCTTTCTTCTGGTCCACACCATTGATATGAGTCCCAGTTTCCTTCCCATCACTACTGATTCCCTGTACATTTTCCTTTATTTCACTTAGCATAGACTTAATTTTTTCATCTAATTTGTGACCAAATTCAACCAATTCTGTGAGCATCCTGATCACCATTGCTTTGAACTGTGTATCTGATAGGTTGGATATCTCTTCATCACTTAATTGTATTTTTTCTGGAACTTTAATCTGTTCTTTCGTTTGGGACAATTTTTTTTTGTCTTGACACACCTGTTACATAGTGAGGGGCAGAGCTTTAGGTGTTCACCAGGGCAGGGCAACCCAGTCACTGAGTTGTGACGTCGTATGTTGGAGAGGGGTCCGAGAGGGAACAATGGCTCTTGCTCTGCTTTCTGCTGGATTTCAGTCCCTTCTGCCACTCCCCCTATGCAAACTGGGCCCTTTTGGTGCTGATTCCTGGGTGGGTGGGCTTGTGTACATTCTAGGGCCCTGTGGGTCTCTGCAACAAACTCCCTTGTGAGGCTGGGAGTTTCTTCCACTGCTGCCTCAATCGGCGTTTTGAGCTTTATTTCCCAGTGCTGAGACCCTGGGTTGTACAGTCTGTCCCGCTTCCCAGTTTTGTCTGGTTTATCTGTGCTCCAGTGTGGGATTGCCCAGTCTGCCAGTTGCCATGCCTGGTGCACCCCTCCACAATCCGCTGCCTTGCTGGATTCGCCTGCTGCCACCTGCGCCTGGGTCCACCAGCCACCACTTTTTTTGCTGCAACCCCTCTCCGTTTGGCCCCCCGATCCTCCCTTCCTACCGGGCTGGATAAATGTGTCTATTTTAACTCCTTGGTTGTCGGACTTCCATACAGTTCAATTTTCTATCAGTACTGGTTGTTTTTTGTTTCTAAATTGTTGTTGTTTTTCTCTTGGTTGTGCGAGGAGTCATAGTGTATCTACCTATGCCTCCATCTTGGCTGAAAGTCCCTCAGGGCTTTATATTATTCCTAAAAAGTAATGTATTCTCCTTCCTTAAGTGGGTGGTTGAGGTCTGGAAACTACAAGGAGTTTGGTGCAGGGCATGTGCATTTAATGCACTTAATGCAATGGAGTTCCTGAAGGATTTCCGTAATTCAAACTCTCATTATTTATGATAAGTTTTCTCAGAGAAGCAGATGAAAAATAATAAGTATATACCATTACCACACAAATCCAAGATTATGACAGGTTAGAGGCTATTGCTGAGGCTTTAAGCTTTTTCCCAAAATCTGCTTCATTGAGGTATTATCTCTCTCTGTACAATTAAACTGACCCTTTCTAAGTGCACAGTTTGGCGAGTTTTGGCAGATACATACAGCCATACAAGTAGTACCAGTCACATGATATGGGACCTTTTGAGGCTCTGACGCTACTGCAGTGTTGTTGCCTTCTTATCACTTCCCGTTTTTAACCCCCTTTTCTTGACCATTTTTCCAAAGTTTTAAGCTCGACACATGGCAGTTTCAATGGAACTTTTTATTTTCTCAAAATTAGCTCTATAGGAAATGGGAGAATGGTTTCAGTGGGAGAACTGATTTTATGAGCAGTAAAATGCCACAATGAAGAAAAGGTAGTAGGAATGAGCTATAGAACAGGGGTCAGCCAACTGTAGCACACAGACCAAATCCAGCCTGCTGTCTACTTTTGCAAATAAAGTTTTATTGTAATGCAGCTTTGTTCCCAGCTGTGTTCTAGCTCCAACAGCAGAGTGAATTGCTATGATAGACATCTTACAGATGCAAAGCCTCAAATATTTACTCTTTGGTCCTTTAAGAAAAAGTTTCCTATCCCCTGGGTTATAGCATGGCCTCTTCTACATTAACATTGGGGCACCTTGTGGTGGCTTGGCCTTTCTTTTATGTAGCATTTGATCATATCTTACCTCTATTCCAGTAACATGACAGTTTATGTTCTCTGCCTGAGCTCCAGCATCGCTGCTTAGATGATGTTATTTGAAGGCATCACAAACCATTAAAATGAACACAATGATGCAGTTAACGTAGCAGCAGCAGTGATCATTAAAATTGCTCATGCATTAAGTTGCAGTGCATGTGCATAGCAGGCATCTGTGGGACAGATGCAGCAGCAGTGTGATGGGGTAGCCATGTAGGTGCTATGGGTGATGCATGCACCCAACCTACCAGCTTTGGGCTTTTGCAGTTTTTACTTTTTCATAAAAATATTCTGTGGGGTTTCTACAAATGTGCATAAGGAGACACTAATATTTCTATGCAATACCACATTTCAAATTTGCATAACTTATAAGCCTGTTTTTGTTTTGTTTGTTCATTTATTTTGTTCTTACAGCCCCCAGGTAGGTGAAATCATATGGCATTTGTCTCTCTCTGTCCAAAAATTGTGCTCGATTGCCAATCACATGGAATGTGACTGCCTTGTATATGGTACCTAGCCCTAAAGTGACTCCCTGGAACCCACTGGCCTGTGTATTCGAGTGAGTGGGGGCTTGACATTTAGGAGCTTAGCAGGTGACTTTTGTCACAAGCCAAACTTGGGGTTCGTAAATCTCACTCACCAATTTGCTTGTGGTGCTGCTGCTGACACATCTATTGGATAGATTTTTGATTTCCTGTCAGTTTTGAATAAAACAAATAGCCCTGACATGCGCTTGTTCTTGCCGCCAGCAGTTGGGAGACCAGGCGTGGTATGGTTTGATAAACTAGCAGAGTTCTTTCACATTGGAATGATTAAGACCTCAGTTTCAGCTGTATCTCCACTCCCCTTTGGACCAGCTTTTTTAGGTAGTTGGACTTAATAAAATGAGGTGCTTGCTTTGTTCCAAGATCATTAGGAGGCAGAAATGCAATTTCTTCAAGAATTATCCAGAGTAATAGAACTCAAGTGACCCTTAAGAGTTGCTGCAGAAAGGAAGGCAAACAAATATTGATCGGTGAGACATGTTTATGAGATGACCGAGTCTGCTTGTTTTCTCTTGCAGGGGAGCTGTGTTATGTCTACTTTTGCTAGAGAATCTCTTCTTGGACACACCACACCAACAATACAATTTTCTAAATATAGGCTTAAGGATGCGGTGTCTATCGGCAGCTTTAAGAAGATGAGACTGTTCCTGCCAGGACATGAAATGACACTCTCCCCTGGGAGCCAGCCTCAAATAGCTACACTCATGGAGATGCATCCTAGCTGGATTTTTATGGCACAGACTCTACAGTTTTACAAATAAAGGGAAAATCCGTAGAGGGTGATGTCGCCCTTCTTCACAAAGTCCTGCCGATTGCCTGGTGGTGGTGTCCGAGCAGCCAAGAACAGGCCTAGAGACTGGTGTTTGTGCCTTTATGTTATTTGCATCATTGCTTATAGATTCACCAGAAGATTCTAAGGTAAATAAAGGAACTGAACCTAACACCTGATTCCCAGGTGGCCTGGAATAGACAGGAATGTGTGAGACCTGAGTTCAAGAGAAGCCACTTTTGTAGTAATGTTGAAGATTCTCAGAAATCAGGAGCATTTGATTGAGACCCACAAGTTCTGCATAACTGCTATCAGTGTAACATTTATAACGTAGCGTTGAGCTGTGTCTGTCTGCTGGAAAAACATCAGATGGAGAGTGGGAATATATGTATAATCTTGGCTCCTCCTAGCTCACTCTTGAGATCTGAGACAGATCATAACCTCTCTCTTTTCACTGGGAAAGTGGGGCTTATTGGGCACAGATCTTACTACCTGTGGGTTGTGATGCTTAAACAAGATGTTTAGTGTGAAAAGCACAGGTTTGGAGTCAAACAGACAGACCTGAGTTTGAATCCAAGCATTTCCACTCACTAGCTCACTGGAACATAATTTTAAATCTTTATGAAGCTCACTTGCTAAAAAATTTTTTTAAATGAAGTGAAATAATTAACTGTGAGGTTGTTGGACAAATTTTGCATTTTATATATATATATATAGAGAGAGAGAGAGAGAGAGAGAGAAAGAGAGAGACAAGCATTCCTGGTACCTAGTAGAAGTCCAGTAAATAGAAGCCATTTTTACTCTGATTATGGAAAACCATTTTGAAAATGTATTTTTCAAATGTAGTATAAGGTAGGATTACTGTTTGAAAATTAGATGACAGTAGTTTGCATTTTCCACAATCAGAAGCCAAACAATAAATGCACATTACCTAATAGAAAGCTTGAAGAGAGGCAAAAATTTGGAATCCATCTTAAGATAAAAATTGGACCATTAATGGAAAGTCTTGGAGAATTTTTTTTATATTTAAAATATTTTCCACTTAGTGTATCAATGAATTTCAAAGCGATTGCATTTTTTTTTAATACAAGCCTGCCACTGTGAGCCTCTTCTTATTGTGTTCGAGTGCTTTGTGCTACTTGAGTTTTGTTTCTTGGGATAATTTCTCCTCATTTCCTTAGTGTTGTTTTCTTCAATTGCATTGGAGGGAAAATGAATGGTAGAAACCAGGAGACACTTTGACCTCCTTTATCAGTTTGTAAATGGCATTTTGTAGGCTTTTGGAATAATTGCCCACTTCCAAAAATAAGAGGCAATGCAAATTATCACAGAGGTGAGAAGCAAGAAGTTTGTATCTGGAGATTAGATTGGAATAAACTTAACCCTTCCTATGCAACCACTTGCATCCTCTGCAGGCGGGAGAGTTCTCAGCCTGGGCCGCCCAGTAGGACCACCTGGGGAGCTCTGTGTAATCCCCATGCCCCCGTTACACTGCAGGCCAGAAAATCGGAATCTCTGGGTGTAACTCAAGCACCAGTGCTTTTTAAAGCCCCCTAGGTGATTCCAATGAGCAGCTAAGGATGAGAACGCTACAATAAGTTCTAGGTGATTTGCAGACATCTGATTTCTTTTTAACACCTCTGAGGTAGGAAAGGATTTGTAGTCAGAATTTTTGTTAGAAATAGAAATAGTGAAGCACAGAGAAGCTGATTTTTGTCTGAATTCCTTGAAGCTGGGGTGGCTGGTGCAAATGCCTGCAGGGGTCTGGAAGGTGATCTGGTGGGGGAAGCAGGCTGGTGGCCACTGTGGACAACCCCAGAGCCCAGAGGTGGGCAGCAGCTGCCTGGCTGTAGCATGGTGTTGCCATGTGGCTGGTTTTCCGAGTTCTTCCAATTTCACTTTTCCAGAAAGAGAATTTTAAAACTCCTGATTTTTACATGTTGAGGACAAATTCAGAATTGTTTAAAAACATTGTGCTCGCCAAGCAACACATGTTTGCTAGTCATTTCCAGCCTCTCTTCAAGAGTGTTAAGGACCAGACTAAACATCCCAGCCAATATTTAATAGATTTGTGTTGTTCTGTCCCAGATGTAAGCTGCCTTCTGCTGCTCCCCCACACCTACTTTATAGGTGTGTTTTCCTCCCATTTCCCTGTAACCCTCTGGACTTATATTAGACACTTACCCTAACTCCCCTTTATTCCAGGAGGAATCTGCTGCTTCAGGCCTCTCATCTATGGCTCAGAAATCTTATGCTTTTTAAAAAATTAACTAGGACTGGTTAGAGTTCATTTTTATTATATGTCAGAATTCTTTTCCTGTGTTGAAACATTTAGGAGCCCACATTTACCTTTTTACTTTTTTAACTCTGCAGTCTGGTGTAAGAATGTCAAAAGCAGGAGGAGCCTTACTGGGCATGTTAGGAACGTGGGTGGGAAAGGGTGAAAGGGGAGACCTGGTGAGTCTCCCCTGCAATTCACTCCAGTGAGTCCTAGATTTGCACTTGTACCAGAAATCCTTTGGGAGGGGTGCAGAAGTGCTGGTATCCAGGCAAGGTTCTGATTGATGCCTTTGCACTTGGGACCTGAGGATCTGCATTTTCAAACCTGTTTTCCAGGAGGTTGGGTGGTGCTACTCCACAGACCATATTTTGAGAAACTGATATAGCACAGGTGTTTTGGCCTCCTTGTCTTCTATCGTTTAAGACAGTTTTGCAGGCCGTTGGGCCCACCACTGATCAACATAGTTGGCCACTCGGGGCCCGATATAAAGATCTTACATAGAGAGAGGCTGACTAAAGCTCATTCCTGCATAACTGAGGAGCTTTTATCATGAAGGGGCTTTTATGTTTTTATATAAATGTGGATAAAACAGAAATGGTGCTATATTCGTTTTATATAAGTAGTATACATGTAGTAAGATCTCATTTAACAGGCCTTTTGGGCTGCACGGGATACACACTCAAGGTTATTCTTTATATTTGTGCATTTCCTGTACTTCATTTCAACCATTTACATAGAACAGTTTCTGATTAGTACACACTTCCCTGCTTTTTGCAAACCACAACCTACTGAAGACAGTGAAACCTCTTTGGGGTTGTTTCTATATTTTGAGTGCTTTCAGGTCCTATGTGGGTTTGTTAAAGCCCCTGCACTGGCTGGCCCCACTTGGCTCTGCTCTTTGAGTTCTGTGGTGGTTTGGAATCATTGTTCTTCCCCCTCCCTGTTACTTGTTTCTCTCTGCCAGCACTCTGCCTGCCTCGAGGAACCTTCCTCTCATTTGCTGTCTGGGAGCCGGAAAACCATGTCACTGCGTACTATGTGTGACCAGGCGCTGAGTGAGGCTTCGAGAGGCTTTTCTAGCAGTTAAACAAGGAACATTAGCTGCACTGACTAGGTGACATTATTTTAGTGATTCCTCTGTCTTCTTTGAACTTGCTTCCTGATCCCCAACTGCACTGCCAGATCTGTGACCTCAGGATAAGTGAGATGTTGCTACAGGGAGTTTCGGCTGATTTTTAATCTATTGTCTCCCCCAATTGTATTCATATTTTTATATGTACAGTTCCACAATGTGAAACTTCAGTGGATTAAAATCTAAATGGACATTTCTCAGGCCAAGTTTTGTGAAGGATAAAGTGTTTTTGGTTCAGTACTGTTGTGATTTGGAACTATAAAGTAGTTGTATACCTATGAAATCTGATCCTGCAGTCATCCTGAAATAAAGGTTTTACAGCTATTATTTATGTGTGAATTCTAATTTCTTGGGGTATCACACTCAGCAGAGCTTTTGTTTATCATTTGTTCTGATGACCCTGGGTCTTTTCAGTGGCCCCAGATGAGTGTGTTATACCAACCTTATGTTTGCTCCCCACTTCCCCTGAGGTGAGCCATTAAATTTTCTCCTGGAAATAAGCTGAGGTCAGTCTTAACTGGCTGACTCTGGTGGGCCAGAAACACACAGTGGCATGAAGTCAGGGGGTCCCACAGAGTGAGGGAGACAGAGCCACTGAGTACTAACCTGTGAGGCTCAGCTACGCTTTCTGTGCTTTGTTTCCATGAGATTCACCTCTATCCTGGCATCTGTCTCCTTTTACTAGACTGTATTTGGGTTTCTGTGCCTTATTGCTGGAATGCCTTGTCCAAGTCATACTGATACCTTTCTTTTGTTAGAGCCTGTGATTAGGCAGAGCCTGCCTTTAGGGGTAGAGCCCTTAGTTTAACCAGCACCATTGAGCACCTACTGTGTGCAAGAGGCAAGATTCGTGTTCTTTTTCGTCTTGATCCAGTGAGTTTCTAGGTTCACACCATCATTATAATGACAGATGGCAGTAGAAGGCACCAATTGATGGTAAGACCAGGCTCTGTTACAGCTTGGGTAAATCAAACAATGTTTGCTTATGTAATAGATGCAGAAAAAAGTCAGCACAGGATGCACAATCAAGAGAGATCAACACAAAAATGTATATAGCTTTGCCTCGAAGCCTCACCAGCAGGTTGCATAGTTTTAGATGATAGTGTCTGAATTAGTGAGGGGCACAGCATACCTTTGGGAAGATAGTTCTCTTTACGCCCTGCCTTTCATGCAGAAGAATGGAGCTGGCCTGCATGACACCGCCTTCCCTGAGTCATGGAGGAGCTTTGCAGTGCACGATGATCGCAGGGTACAGGATGTCCAGGCATAAGTGTCTTTTCCTTTCAGACTGTCCTGGCTGTTATAGCTTGGTCTCAGGACACATCCCAGAAGGCCCAGCTGCAGCATCAGCATCTGCTTCCCTGATGTCTGAGTGGGGCATGCTAACTAGTTTGGGCTAACCCTGCAAGACCCAGAAACTTAACACAAGACTTTAAGAGACTGAAGCAGATAGGTAGAGTTGTGAGAGTGGCAAAGGGGCTTCTGAATACAACTTAAATGAACTTATCAAAACAATTTAAAATGAAATATTTAAGATATAAAATATATTTCTTGCATACCTGACTGCCAATTGGAACCTGCTGGGGATTTCATGGGGAGCTTTAAAAAATAATGCTACCTGGGTGCCACCCACAGAGATTCTAGGTTGAAGCCTTGGCATTGGGATTGTATAAAGCTTCCCATGTGATTGAAACCAGGAGCAGCGATTCTGCCCAACTTTGGAAGGAACATCTGTTCTCCCATAAGTGGTAACCCTTAGGAAGCTAGCTGGACTCTGGAGTTTGTAATATGAGGCTTTCCTGATGTTTTGCCTCTAGCCCATCAGAAAAATATCATTCACTGTTTAAGAAAATAAATGCTCCAATTTCTCTTAGATGCTAATAAAGGAAAAGATATGCTAGAAATGCCCCACCATGGGCAGCCTATTTTATGAGCAGAAGTTTGAGTTGTGTTTATTGGAACAGAATTTCATGCAGAAAAAGGACCCCGTAGTAACTTGAGACCCCTGCTTTGTCTTGAAGGGTCAACCTGAGTCCCTGCATTGGTGCACTTGAAGATGTAGGTCTTCAAGCTCTGGACAGGCTTGCTGTGCAGGAGGCAACAGAGAGAAAAATAGCAGCCACCATCCGTTTAACTTAAACTCTATGGAGCTATTCTCCAGCCTTGTCAGAGAGGGTTAGGGCCATTTCTTGCCTGCCATCTGTTAGCGGCTGATGAAATTATTACTTCTTTGTGTTGGTGCCGGGATGAACTTTGAGGTCAGATGACAAATGAGAAAATGCTAACTGCCCCGTTGTATATTTTTGTTTTCCCATTTTGGATTTCGGTGTCTCCCTCAATTCAAAAGTTCATTTATTACACAAACTTTGAAATGATCACATAGCCAGTTTGTTGAGATGTTGAAAGGAAATTATTTTCTGGAATGAAACACCTCTGATATTTGTGTTTGTTGAAGGATGTAGTTATCAGTCTCATCAAAACCCAAGTCATTCTTGTCAATCACTCAACAACAGCATAAAAAGCTCCCCTGGTCCCCAGGACAGAAGATTACAGAAAGCAGCCAGAAAGAGTTGAATGAATGAATGAATGAATGAATGAATGAATGAATGAATGAATGAACGAACTACCCCAGGGTATAATTATTCAGAATGGAAACAGTATATAGAGCAAGGATGGGGAGAAAGAAGGGGGAAAAAACCTACTAAGGTCATACCTGTTACTGATTAAATGGTAAGGTGACTCTGAAGAAAGGTTTATTGTCTGAAATGACATTTCAAAGAATTGGAGGATATAGCGTGGAGGTTTAGTGCTCCTCAGTTCATGTCTTCCTTTTCTTTTTTTCTTCTTTGTGAACATATCCATAGATAGAACAGGGAAAAACTTCAGTGCAGCTTTTCTGCTGGTATCATGGTGAATGGATCTAACTTAAACCCTTGGAAAACCTGGAGTCACATTTGAGGCACTAGGTTGCTATGCTTTTTAATTACAGCTTTAAATTGGATTCAACTGTGCATTGGATTAAAAAGAGAACCCTTCCAGTATGGAAAGCAGGTTTTTTTTGTTAGTTTGAAGTTGGCAGCTAGCCTTATGACTTGTTTCCTTGGGTGTTCATTGTTTTGTCCAATGCTATGAGAGCCATTTCTTTCTGGGAAAACATCAGTGTTGACAATGTTTAGGGGCCTTCAGATAGCCACAAGACAGATGGTCAAAGCTCCTCTTAGGCCATTTATTTTTCTCAAAGATTTGTGGGAAAAACATTAGTTTTACATCAAAACCAACATAGAGCTTTGCAGGATGTAAAATTGGAATAGATTCTTAACTTTGGGAAAAAAAGTGAGACTAAGAGACATTTTGCCTGAGCCACTGCTTCGAACCAGTCATTGTACAGAGCAGATGCTATATGAGATTGAATAGAACAGGGGTATCAGAGGACAGCAATTAGATATGTTCAAGACAAGCACTAGGCAATAAGACATTCTGAAACGCTATGGGTTGGAGCAGCCCTGATGTAGACCAGCTCCAGGTTCTGGAACTCCCAGAATTCCCATGTCCCTCAGAGTCAGCCTTATATCCCAGCAACATGGCCCTTGCCTGCCAGTGTCTCGTGATGCAAAACAGGACAGATATCCAGTAAACTTGGACAAGCTTTGCCATCAGGATTATGGTGGCTTATTTTGAGAACTGGGCTAATATAGAGCTCTTAGTTGTTGAGAAGGAAGGATATAAGCCTGAAGAGCATTTATTGAATATTAAATTTTAATGATCTTTCTCTGTAATTTTTTTTGGCAGGGGGAAGTCATGCTTTCTCTTTTGTTCAGAGAAAACACAGGATAATTTTATTTGTCAATAGAATGTTTTTAATATATTGTTTTTCCTAAATGGAGGCAGTTTATATATACTTGTAGACTGCTGCTTTCTCTACAGTGTTTAATCCAGGGTGCTTGTTAAAATCAATGGGAATGGGTATAATTAGCCTTGGTGGAGTAAAATAACCAATAAAAGGAAAAAATTAATGAAGCAGTGTTTTGCTTCTTGATTCTGGCAATTATAGTGGTGGGGTTGGTTCTGCTATAGTGAAGCTCTTACGTTTTACAATAACAAATCTCTTGTTCATTCCTTAGATATATTTTAACTGGCATATAGATAGAAATTGTATGGCAGTTGTCAGCAGGAATAACCTTTATTGTTATTTATAAAACACACACACTTCTGCTGAGGAGGCCAACTATGGTCATACCCCAGCTTCTTTGTAGAAATAGCATATTCTGGTCAGGTCTGAATTTTCCTTCACCAAAATAAAACTTGATAGTAAATTTGACCTTACATTGAGATTAACATAAAAGAAATCCGAGCATCTGATTTGATGTAATTATAGCACAGAAATGTAAACTGGAATTCTGGTCATGCCATGCCCCAGCTGTGTACATGAGCTCTCTGGGCTCCATTTCCTCAGATGGGAGGGAGGAAAAATAAGGACTGTTTATAAGGTCAATGAAAGAATTAGAGACGCGTGGAAACAGTTGGAACAGGGCCTGGCACTGTAAACACTCAGCCATCTCTGGAAGAAATTGTGTTGAATCGGTGTTAATTCTTTAAATATTTGATAGAATTTTCCAGAGAAATCATGTAGTCCTGGGTTTCCATTTGGGGGAGATTTTTAATTACAAATATAATTTCTTTAATAGTTGTAGGACTATCAAATATTTTGCTCAAGAGTAGGAGAGAGATAACATCAAGACAATGCATTTCACAATTCACTGAGCATCTAATCTGCCTCCCCAGTTCATACATTGAAACAAAAATGTTTTTCTCAAAAAACAGGTCTGGGCAGCCCACTCGTTTGTATAATGTTTATACTTTAAAGAACCTGAATAAACTTTTGTTTAAAAACAAAAAGGCCAAAGTGCTTTTGATTTTTGGCATTTTTATAATAAATGTGTGTCCTCGCTGTATAGTAATGGTTAAACACTGTACATGGCAAGAAGGAATTGAACAGTTACATTTAATGAAATTGTTTTACCAAGAACCAGTTGCAGTGTTAGGTTGTGATTTCAAAGGAACCTGCCTGGACTGTGATTTGTCATCTTGTTTCATTCTAAAATGATACTGGATTTGCATTTCCCAGATGTCAGAGACAATGATGAGACGTCCCTGGTGACAAGCCTGTAACATCAGCAAAGTTTTAAGCAAAAGCCAAAATTTTTCTGTTGAGCTAAAATTCTACTTCTTAGGGAGCCCTGACAGACCATTTTCATCTTATGACTTGGTCATGCATACCACTTGTTTCACGTGTAATTGTAATCTCTCATGGCTGTAGAGGATAT